TTTCCCCTGGGCTTCCTAGTGAGGTTCAGGTAGGTCAAGATGCCCAGATGGAACATCAACCACCACTGTCAATTTGGAAAATGCTTTTCTTGAGGTCTTATTCATAGGAGGCCTTGATGTAGAAAGGGGTCTTCATGAGAGAAGGGGCTTCTCCCAGTCCGCCCACATCCCTGCACTCCCTAGTGTGTAAGGTCATGATGTGGACAGGCCTGTTCAGGACCCATCCCACCGCTCCAGCCTCAGGCAGTGAGGATGTTGCTCCTAGCATGCCAGTAGTCAGGATCCAAGCAGATCCTCACTGGTGCAGCACATGCCAAGGCCTAGCCAATGGGCCCATCCCTAGGATCAGAGGTGGCACTTACTTGTTGAACAGCAGGTTCAACACGTGATGGGCAGTCGTGAAAGTCCGGTATGTCCCCAGAAACACTGGGATAAACATGGCGTCTCCAAAGAGCAGGGCAGGCACTAAGTGGTCTACTAGCTTCTCCACTTTGCCTCTCTGTAGGTATCCTGCTTTGCAGGGATCAGGAAGGGTGGGGGCTAAAACCCACCCAAACTGCTGTGAAGAAATGAGACACAGTTCAAACATAGAAACAGCAGCACACTGGGAAAAGGCTCAGGGCCATACAATGAAAATAACCTAGGGACACACACACACACACACAAACACACACACACACAAACTCATGTATTTACACCCCACTCAAGAATGTAAACACATGGCATCTGAGGCTGCCAGAAGGTAGTAGGTTAGGGGACTCGCCCTCCCTCCACACCCTCCTGCTTCCTTCATTCACCCGTGGGATACATGGTGTAGTTCTTCTCAGGCGACTGGGACAAAGGATAACCCAGCGTCTTCGAACAATATCGAACTCGCTTTGTGGCGCTGTTCTGTGGAATAGCGGGCAACAGCAGGAGAACATCCTGTTGTCCCTCCGCTTTCCACACAGCTCAGCTGGTTCAGCTGGTAACCAGCACCAACTCCTGCTGGCCCTTTGTGACATCATTTCTGGAGATAACATCATCAATGAAGGGAAGTCCCCTCTTCTGAACTCAGCCTCAGACCAGACCTCTGCAAATGTCCCCTGGGTGCTAGCTGGGCCCCATGGCAGGGCAGGAGCCAAACTAGACACACTCCACATACACAACCAACTGTCCTCTGTCTAGGTAATGTCATGGTTATGAGGACACACTTAATGAGTTCCCACCAGATCCCTCCTACCAGTTTAAATGTCTCCTCATGTACAAGTGCCTGTGCTTGCCTGCCTCCCCCAGTCACCCATTCATTCCTAGTGCTTCCACCCAGCACCTGCTTGAGCATATCATACACTGAATAAGACCCAGTATCTATCCAATGCTTGGGAACCCTAGAGCTGGTGTCAGTCATTTTCACTGCACTCTTGTAGAGATTCAGTCCCTGCACATGGTGTCTAGACAGAGAATAAACTGCAAACCACTTGTCCTTGCCTAGGCCTCTCTTTCCTGTAGTAGGAGCCTCCAGGAGGAGGATACCAAGTTCAAGGAGGATAACTAGGCAAGAGATTCTATCTCAAATCCATGCAAGCCAACAATGAACGACAAAGAAAAAGGAAAGGCAACATCTGAGCTCTATGTGGGGGTGAGAATTTCACAAGTGCACACACAGATGACGTCTTCTCTATTGGGAAGCCTACCCAGGAGAGACTCCCTTGTTCAACACACCTATTGAGAGAGGTACACACATGACCTCACATGGACACATAGACACAGATTCATCCACACAGACACGGTGGCACACGTCTGTGTTCATTCATATGGGTCCTCACATGCGCATATTGGAGCTCTGCCTGCCACAAGGTCTGTGTGCGAATGAGAGGGTGGGTGAGAGATGGGAAGCTGAAAAGAATGGGGAGTTTGTTCAGTGTCCTGTATCCTCAGCTCTCTACTCTTCTGGAGAGTCACAGAGTGTGGCAGCCTGGGATCCAAGAGAATTTGAGGCCAATCTCTGGGCTCATTTGGTGGGCTCATGGAGTGACCAGTGTGGGCATGGAGAGCCAGTGATTTCTGCACCATGTTCACTGAGGTAGAGGTGGAAAGGGCACCAAGGGATCGGGCTACCAGAGTGGATTGGGCGCCACTCAGCTCCTAGGGCTGAGAATTTTCGGCTGCCACTGGGCATGGGAAGAGGAGTTACAGTGAGAGCAGCCTGGACGTGGAGTTTGTTGATGTGGAGAAATGTGGGGATGGGAGGCCTTCACTTTTCAAGCAACAGGGAAGTGGACAGGCGCCTCCACCACGGGGATCCTGGCAGGGGAGGGAGAACCTTGGCATCCTTTGCCTCTAGATTCCTAGGTGTGCCCTTCCCTGTCTGCTCCTTCCCTAGGTCCACCAGCTCCCTTGCTCAAGATGTCACAGTCAGGGCTGAGAAGGTAGCTCAGTGGTTCAGTGCTTGCCTTGCATGCCTGAGTCCCTGGGTTCAAATCCTCGGGACCACATAAGCAGAAAAAGCCAGAAGTGGCGCTATGGCTCAATTTGTAGAGCACTAGCCTTTAGTTGAAGAGCTGAGGTCCAGCACAGAGGCCAAGTTCAGGCCCCATGACTGAAAACAAAAATGCCACAGTCAGTGCCCAAGACTCTGATGATGGCAACTTATGCTCACTGGCATGGTTCGTGCCTGCAGGGCCACGGAGGTCTATGCATTCAGCCTGACTGGGAGCCATGGTGGGGGCTTTTTCATGGGAAACAGAGGCCAGGGTTTCCTGCTCTAAAGCCACCCAACAGAAGCCGACCATGGCGCTGATCCTGCCATCTATCCTGATGATACAGTCCCTGACTCCTCCTGCCTGCTCTGAGGAAGTGACCGCTGTGTGAGGGCTGCAGGTAGAATCCAGGCCTATCACATTGATTTGATATATCTGTTCTTATTATTTTATACCATTATAGACTTAACCGTTTTTAATTTCCAAAGGCTAATATACCAGTGACAATTGTCCACCTCTTAGGATGGTGGGGAAGTATGGCACAATTAATTCAGCTCCACCATGGTATGGACTTTCTTTGTACACAACTCCAAATCTCACTCCCACGATTGGTAGCGGCATACTCATCCTCTTTCTCCAACATGTTTAATGGTAAGAATGGAAGTAAATAGCCAAGAACATCCAACTGTGATGTGGTGCTGGTGGTACCCACTGCTCCTTCTCCTACTTCTCCAAGCAGCAGCACCTCTGCACCACCTCTGCCAGCACAAGGCAGTGCAGGATGAGCTTCCTTTCTGCAGCCAGTTCCTTCTAAACACCTGGCCCCAGAGCTTCTGCACAAACAGATTTGACTCTTTCTGGAACCTGTTCTTGCTGACACCTCCATTTGGTACATTCTCCAGGGATCCAGATTTGAAATGGAACCTTCAACGTCTGTTTCTTTGAAGACAGGCCCTTTCTCCTCAAGCCAGGTTAGCAGATTGTAAAAAGACAGGAGAAGCCTCACTTTAGACAGCGCATGGTGGGGAGCAGGTGGGGAGGCTTGCCCACCTTCTTCAGACATAGCCTTACTGTGCACTCAGCCTCCTTGCAGCTGTGGCTCAATGTGGCGGCTCAGTGACAGCCAGATGTTCATCACGCCACAGGCCATCAGAATTCTTAGTGCTCTTCTCATCACATTCTCATGACTCTCTCAACCTAAACATGCCAGAAAATACCAACAATTGGGCCCAAAGCAGACAGGGTCCTCTGTTTCCCTTCTGTTTCCCACTGAAGCTCCCATCAGAGCTCCTGAAAACCTACAAAGTTTGTAAAATGCCATTTCTGCAAATTGTGACCCCTTTCTCTGGGTTGTTTCTCTTCCGATAGTAGGGAAGAGCTACGAAGTCTGCCTGTGCAACAGTGAAGACATTTTCCTGGGTAAATTCTGTCCTAAAGGAAGGGTCTGGTTCATTCATAACCTGAGTATGTATGGCAACTGATGCTACCCAGTCCACTGGAGCCAGGCCTGGGCTCACTGAGGGGGTTCCTCTTTGACATCACTCATGAATATTTACAAATGCAACTACTCACCAACCAGGGCACTGGCAATTCATTCTTCTCTTTGCAGGAAGCCACATCCACACCTGTGTCAGCATGTCAGCACATGCTTTGTAGGCATGGCCAAGGTGGCGATTTTGGAGCAAGTCCTGAAGAACCAGACAGGGCCGGTGCCTCCTTCCCCAGCATCCTGAGGACCTGAATACAGGTGTTTTTGTCACTACTTCTAAATTGGATATCTGCATGAGTTGGTCTTGAACAAACTGAATACATACTTTGACAAAATTTAAATACAGCCAATAAATTAGTAAGGACTATGGTATGTGAAGACTGTGAGAAGATGCAGACAGTACCATGTGTGGTCTATACTTGTTTCTGTGTGCTTCCCGCATGGCTGGGGAGAATGCACACAGTGTGAGGACCGCAGAAAGGCAACTGGAGTGAGGACTGAAAATCCCTGTATCAGTTACTAGTTGAATAGGAAATGTTGCCTGGGTCCTTTGCTTGTGGACTTAGCTGGGGAGGTGCTGAAAACTTAGCAGTTGGGACCTAGTGCAATAGATCACTGGTTAAGTGTCTGTCCTGCCCCTTCCTGTACTGTGCAGCCTGCTTTGGCTGCATGAGAG